TACCGTGAGAACGTATTTTACTGATTATGCATTTTTAGGACTAGTTTTGCATCTCTCTAATATGTAATAATAAAATTGTTGCTTCTTATTAGTCTCTCGATTAGAGAAGTCGCCTGATTCAATTTTAAGCTTTTTACAGTTACTAAATAAAGTAATTGTTTTTAAAAATAACTTTTCATTAATTGAAAAGATAATTGGCGCTGCGAACAGGATCCGCAGAGACTTTAACTACAGAATAATTCATAGCGAATTATTCGAAAAGTCGTGAGTTTCAACTCTTTGTTTCGGATACGAAAACGTCGAGCATAAAGTGTTACGTGAATATCAATAGTGATCATAGCGTTGCTTGTGCCTGTNTACCGAAATTATTTTTTTTCTTTATGATAATGTTCTAGAACAATTTTGAAATAAACTTTTTTTTATGCCCTTTTTAATATAGAATAACCCCTCAAATTCTTAAATCGATCAGAAAGGTACGCCATATTGAAAAACAAGAAAAACCGATTTTTTTTATATAAAAATCGATTTATTTTACTTTTTATACTTTTGAAACAAGGAAGGAACGTAAGGAAATAGAAAGTAATACAAGATAAATATGGACCATGTGAAGCTAAATTAAATTACACCAAACATTTTGTATCATCTACAATTAAATACAGCAAAATAACTACCAAAGCAGCAACCAGCATGAAGCTAAGATAACAAATTAAGAAGGAAATGGATTTTTGAATGTACGCATAGAGTAGAAAGTAGAAGATAAACTTGGGAGACGCAATTAAAAAATTCAAGATACGTCTAAAAATATAAAGAAATCACCCCAGAATGGACAGAATTTGACGAAAGATAAAATCGAAGTCAGAAAGAATTTAGCAGCTACCTCTAGATTCAGAATAGCCAATGAAACAAGAGATATGAATTTTAAAGGAAAGAAGAAAAAACAACTTGTGTAGCAATAAAAATAATAAAATAAAAATTGCTGATACGAAACATCGAATATAACCATTAGTATGAAATTATATCTTATATTAGTTAAAATACTGTACTAAAGAACTCAAAATAGATGCACTGACACGATCATCAAAGAGCAGCATCATATTTTGAAAAATATAACGCGATATAGGAAAATTCGTACAAATATCTTTAACCTTCTTTTCATATAAAAAGAAGAAAGTAATATAAGTCCAGTAAATGCAATTTAACGCTTTTGAAGAGTATTACATCTTGTTCAAATGATTGTGAGAGTTAGCCACCAGGGGCGGCCTTAGCCATTGCGAGGCTGCGGGTGGGTAAATCTTTGCGAGGTCCTTGTCTTTGTGGAATTAGTTTTAAAGATAATGCTTAATGAGCAATGCAAAGTTATTAATTAATAAATTTGGAGTTATAATTTGTTTATAGGAAATTAACAACTGATAACAAATGTTAATCATGATAAACTAAAGTGTACTAATGTCATAAAATAATTAGGGATTCAGAAATGATATTTGCTGTTTCTGTTTTAAGATATTAAGAAATTCAAACAAATATTACTACTATTAGTTATTTAATATTTTTCTGCTTGGATTGTTGGGAGAGTGCGCGAGGCCCCTGCATGTTCGAGACCCTGGGCGGTTGTCCTGCTCGCCACCCCAAAGGCCGCCACTTTAGGGCAGTTTTCAAAAAACGAGAGATATTTTCAAATAGAAGTGATTAAAGAAATATATTCCACACGTTCACCAAATTATGTAGTTTTGTTATTGCGACATAAGAAAGAAATTAGTAATTTCCATGCATTGTATACCCGGTGAATGCCTTTCTTTATCTTCTTCCCTGTATTATGTATTAAACTGACAAATAGGTACAATTTTAATTTCAAACAATAACTTACGTCTATGACCGAACTAATAAAATTGTACATCTTCCAAATCTTCATTACTATCTATCACAAAAAGCATTTTTTTTTAGCAATGTCATGTGTTTTCAATAATAAAATATACGTATTTTCTTTTATTTTAATCACTACTATATATATAGCCAGTCGAATATAATATTCAACACAGAAAACTTTATTAACTGGGTTTTACTTTTGACACACAGAATTTTAATTAATTGTAAAGTAATATAGAAAATAAATCAACTTACCGTCTACAGTGTGACTCATCTTAATCAACACCTGTCCAGTTCAAAGGTGAAGAAACTAACACATCCATACAAGGACAAACGGAAACACGTGTACGTATTTACGCCAATTTTAAACAAACTGTTAAAACGTTGTACCATAAACTTCATTTCAATTTTCAGTATCAGTTTTTATGAGTTGTTTGTTTCGTAATGATATCAGCAAGGTCAGCCGATGAGCAACGAAAAACATCGAGTAATAATAATTACCACATTCCTGTTACACATACAAATGATGATTGACTTTAAATGGATCAGTCCCTAGATAACTGATAATAGGTATTATAAAACGGATTCCAACGAAATAATCGTTTCTGTACAGTGTAATTAATTTTGAAAAATCAATAATGAATGAATGCACAAATCGATACTCTTCCTATAAGAAATATTTTATACACACATATATTATGTATAATAATGTGCTGCATTCTCTTAAAGTGTTATTATATATACAAATGTTAAAAACGCAAAAAACATTGATTTTAATGTTGACATAAACTTTAAAGTAAATGTAAATTACTTAGTTTAAATAGTTGGTTACAATAAATTGATTAGACGAGGAAAATCTTTCTTTTTTTATAGAAAGTTCTGTAATAGGTATAAAAAAATATATCATTGAAACTAAATATTTTAGCACTAGAAAAAAAATTAGCAGCACGGATGGATCCAGAACTAATTCTTGAGGGAACAGGGGTTAAGTTTTTCCGAAAACCTGGCTATAATGTTAATTGGAATAGTATTTGGTGTACTTTTAAAATAATAATAATAAAATCTTTAACACCTTAATAATAAAATAATTCGCAAGAGTTATTGCAGTCTTCCGGGTGCAGACTTGTTTACAGATAACATTTACAACTTAACACCCGGTTACAATTTTAAACTTTATTGGCATTTTACACGTTTTTTTTTTTTCGTTAAAAATGAATTTGATTTCCCTCACACTGAAGTAATCCATCAATCATACAGCTCCTGAGGGAGGAGAATTTCCCCATTTTTTCCCTTGTGGAAACGCCAATGTTAATAAACCAAATAATGCCAAAAAATATCTTACCACACAGCTTCAAATTTTTTAAAAAAGGCTTCTTAAAATTTAAAAGTAAAAGATTATTTTTTTTAGAAAAATTGAATTTAATTTGCAAATTGTTATTTCCACAATTTTGCCGAAAAATAACATTATTTGTGTTGCATTTAACCCATAATTTAATAAACTTAATGTAATTCTTAATTTTATTGGTGTAGCATTTTTTTGTAAACGCATAATTAAGTTATTATGTCCAAACATGCTTTTTGTGTGCAATAAGTTTAATTTAGCAACATATAACACTTACCATCCAATTAGAATAAAAATAATAAACATTGTACATGTGGAAATAATGGTTTATTTAATTATTCGCAAGTAAGATACAATAAATATGTACATAAGGTTATTTACAATAAAAATTCAGTTCAGTTTGTATAGCAACAACTGAATTTTAAATGACTAGTTCTTCTTTACTTGTAAAATAAAATCATGGAGGGTATAAAATCAGTGGCTTTTAAAAATTCACTCGATGCCGTAAAATAAGCTAGTTTAGTACAAAAATAAATACAAAATTAAAAGGTTTTAGATTTCTTTTTTTACATTTGTCGAGTGCAATAAATTTCTTTTACAAACTTTTGGTATATTATATGTGCAATTGTAGGTGAATATTTTATGTCAATCAAAGTCCTAAAACTGAGGCAAGAAAAAAATTTCGTACGAAAAAACAATTTCAATTGTTCACTTCGTAAACTGGTATTAAAAATAGACGAAACAAATCTATACGAAGAACTGATGAAATAGTTGTGCGAAAGGGTAATAATAAAATTACGTAAAACTATTACACAGTGCTTAAACGAGTACAATATGGAAAAAAATTAATTCTTTGGCTGTTTACACTGGCAAGTTAGGAGTTGTTCGGGTGTTTTGTATACAAAATATGCCATAAAAATAAACTTCCTCGCTACAAAGGAGCGTAGGACAATATATTTTAGGAAATTCTCCAAAAAACGGAGACCTTTTCAGGTATTGGTAAAAATAGGCACAACCAAAGAAATGATTACATTTGTATCATGTATGTATGTATAACAATGTGTTTTAATATCACAATTCCACCACTTCATTTAAAAACTACGTTGAAATTTTCGAAATTAAAAAAAAAAGTTCTCCCATCAAAAAGTCGTCCATAATTATGTATATGTATACTGAGAACGTTCATAACTCCCGAGCTACACACCACTTACATGCACACACACACGCGCTGCGCTGGAATGATTTTATTTATTGCTTATGGTTAGTATGTAGGTAGTAGATAGGTACATCATTGTAGTAATCACGAACGTCAATTTTACCCACGATAAAATGAAATATAACGTGAACGAAAAAGGAAAAAAAATGAATGTCTGCCTTGTAGTACAGTCATTTGATTCGAAAAATAGTGGTTACCTGGAAAGTTTTCCGGGAGTTTTGAAAATTGATAATTTTATAGATTTTAATGTGCTCTTTCCGAATTTCGACTTTGCCACCTCGTATTTTTACCGCTTGCGCCGCCATATTGGAAAAATGGTGCCAAAAAGCAGTTTTTTGGCAATATCTCTTTTCCGAATCATTTTACGATAAAAACAGTACACTTTGCGGCGCTCGTATGCCAAAACTATTGATTTTATGAAAAAAAAGGTAGATACAAAAATTGTAGGTAATTGTCTCTAGTTTCGTTTTGTATATAACTGTTTTTATCTTAAAATGAGTCGGAAAGGAGATATTGTCAAAAAACTGCTTTTTAGCGCCATTTTTCCAATATGGCGGCGTGAGCGGTCAAAATACGAGGTGGCAAAGTCGAAATTAGGAAAGAGCACATCAAAATCTATAAAATTACCAATTTTTAAAACTCCCGGAAAACTTTCCAAGCAAAACTACCAACTGACTGTATTATTGGATTTTTATTAAAAAGGGATTGGAAATGGTTGAGGTTGATAAGGGCGCAGACTTTAGCGTATAAATCCGTTAACGTCCAAATGGTTGAGTGCTTTCAATGAATGAGCTGCCCTGCACGTTTCACCCGCGATATAAGTGAACCCGGTAACGGGTAGAGTGCCGCCTGCATGAGGCACAACTCCTCTGAGCTGCGGAGGAGGCCTAGCACGCCGCCCTTCGTCGTCGACACAAAATACTCCTGATGAAGGGGGCGCGCTAAGTTCTAGCTACAATTCCGTCACCGGGATCGGTTTGCTGTTGTGATGAATACCAGCCGATCGAATTATGTAATCGTCGTCAGAAAATGTTTTCTGATATTCGTGCTCCTTTCTGCTTATTGCTCGCTTGTTCCATTTGTAGTCCTTAACCGCCTCCCTAACTCTCTGTCGATATCGAAAAAGCAACAGTCCCAGACAACCCAAAAATATTACCGCACTTACACTGAGTGTCACTAGCATAGCCTGTTGTCTTGGATCGCTGAAACTACAACCGAGTTCGTCTGCGCCAAGTGTTCTAAGCTGCTTTTCCTTCAGTTGCTTGGGCGACGCGCACTGTATCGACGTGAGATTTTTAACTTGCGCTAGATTTGCTAGCCACAATAGTTGGCAATCGCAAACGATCGGGTTATCACTCAGTTCTAACGTTTTCAGTTCATTCCACGCTAGCCACGTTTCTGAGAACGTCTTAAAATTATTCTCCTTCAGTATAAGATGCCTCAGTTTCGGAAGACCAGTAAGAGCACCGTCTTCCATCACTTCTAATTCTCTATTATTTGTCAATATTATCGTTTCAACGTTTAAATTAAACACTCCCTTTTCTATTTTCTTGAGATGAGTTGCTCCTGTAACGTCGAATTTTCTTAAATTCACAAGCTTTTTAAGAGAATTACTGGGAATAATGGTAAAGTCGTTTTGTCCTATGTACAGCTCTTCTAGTCGTGACAAGTGTTCCATCTGCTTAGTGGGAATGTTCTTTAGCATATTACCTGCTAAGTTCAGACTTCGTAAGCTACCTAGTCCTTTGAAAGCATCGTCGGTTATGTTAGAAAGGCCGGCTCCGTTCAAATCCAAAACCGACAGCTTCTTTAGTCCATCAAATCCATTATCGGGAAGTACGGAAAATGCGTTCAGGCCTATATGTAATTCCGCCAAACTCGACAATAACGAAAAGGACGACGTCGGAATGAAAGACAATAAATTGTCATCCAAATATAGAACCCTTAATGCTGATAAGCCGTCGAAAGCGTGGACGTCAATTTGAGATATCCTATTCTGACCTAAATTGAGCTCTTCAAGTTTCGACAGCACCATAAAAATTCCTCTTGGTAGGTCTTCCAAGAAGTTTTCACGAAGGTTCAATACAGTGAGGGACTCGAGTCCTTGGAATGTGGTATTGTTAATGGAAGAGAGTTTATTTTTATTCAAGTGCAACTCCTGGAGCTTTTCCTGATGAATGAAACTCTTAATGGGAATGTTGACTAGATGATTACTGGAAAGATCTACATATTGCAGATCGCGGTAGAATTGGAAAGCGGCGTCTACAGTTTTAATTTTATTATTGCGAAGAATCAACCGTTGTATCGCAGGATTAAGGGTAATTGGGATGACATCCAACTTGCTCCTTTCGCAGTGGACAACGTACGTATCATCGTTGCATGTACAACCGGTTGGACAGCCAACGCCTTGTACAGCTGACACTACCACTCCTAGCAGCAGAATGACAATCATGATTGACTCAACCTGAAAAACAAATATGAAGTGTTACATACAAATTGATGTAGACAAAGTTCAAGTTGTACGGAAAGTTGGCGAATATCGACAATTATAATTGATAGGAAATAGGCCGTTTAGAAACAAATTATATTATTTGACTTTGTATTGAGGTATTTATGAAGATAATACGTTAATCCTCTATACGTACAACAAATAAAAAATTACTAAATGCTCTTTGTAAAACCCGTATGTAACCTTAATGGAATAATATCACGCAATGTTATTCCCAGCGCTTATGAAAGTAGTATATGGGGTTGAAGTTTAATACATAAAGTGAACTTTTTATACTCAACTGCTAACAACGCTGCTCCAACCGAATTAAATAAGTTTATTTAATTTCGAAAGTCTTAAAGTTCCTTCCTTATGCTTAGATTTGCAGATGATGCAGAATTAGAAGGAGGAGTTTGAGATAGCTTTAAAAAAATAGAAGCGGTATTGACAAAACAGTATTGTATGAAAAAAAGTAAAATAAAAATACTGGTATGCAAGAGAAGAAAAAGTAGGGAAAGAGCGAATATAAAGATAGGAGAAGAAAAATTAGAAGAAGTGGCTGATTTTAGGTATCTAGGAAGTCAGACAAGTCAGGACGGAAGGAGTGGAAGGGATGTAAAGCAGAGGATAGCGCAGGGTCGAGTTGCCTTCAATAAATACAAGTCACTTTTATGCTCGCGAACGATTAATTTAGAAATTCGAAAAAGATTGTTAAAGGTGTATGTTTGGAGCGCGACGCTGGATGGGTGCTAAACATGGACGGTGGGCGCTGCGAGAAAGAAAAGGTTGAAAGCGTTCGAATTGTGGTCTTACAGGCTAATGATGAGGATACCGTGGATAGAGAAGGTTAGAAATGAAGAAGTATTAGAAAGGATAGGAGAACAGAAGACTTTATGGAAGTCAATAAGAAATAAGCGAGATAAGTTGGTAGGACACCTTCTCAAGCATGAAGGTTTAGTCAGACATATTAGTGGCAGAAACGGGAGTTAGGAGAGGTAGAGGTAGACTTAGATCAGATTACTGTTCGTAAATAGTTAAGGATGTGGGTTGCTCTAGTTTTAGGGAAATGCGAAGATTAGCTCAGGATAGGAAAGAGTGGAGGTCCAACCAGTTTTAGGACATTGAGAACTAGAACTCATAATTACGGTAAAAGAAATCGCAGTATTTTGTAGTTGAAAGTAAGTATACAAAATCGAATGTCCTCTGTTATTCTTCTTCACCTTTCTCTTTTTCCGTTTTAGCTGCGAAAAATCAATGAAATATTTCAAAATCAGTATTACTAATTATCATCATCATCAAAAGGTCGTCAGTTCCAAGAAACATTATTATTATTTCCCTGGTCTTCTCAGTTTTCACTGGTAACTTTGAGCAAGTTGAGACGGGCTAATGCCAAAGAACTTCACTCACATCTTTTGCAAAATGATATTGAAACCAATTTTCTGTTCTTAAATTTTATAGAGCTAACAGTACTTCTTGCCCTGATTATTATTATTCTCCTGGTCTTCTCAGTTTTCACTGGTAACTTTGACCAAGTGAAGACGGGCTAATGCCAAAAAACCTCACCCACATCTTTTGGGATATAGAAACCAATTTTCTCTTCTTAAAATTTAGGGAGCTTACGGTTATTCTTGCCCTGGAATATGATCAGTGAGTATTAAAAACTCCGCTTCTTATTTAACCTGTTGTGTTTTCTGAAAAGGGGGATATGTCAGTACTGTTAAGCAATCTGCGCACTATTCCGCATGTATCAAGGATTACGGATTTCTGTAGACTTATGTACGTAAACNAATACTATAAAAAGGTAAAAGTTTATTTGGAGGCAATCTTCGAAACAACCAGGTAATCCGATTTCAAAAATTTGTTCACCAAGATTTAGAATGGACCTTCCGGATGGACATAGGTGATATATTATTCCGTTAAAATCAAAGAGACTAATTTTCAAACATAAGTCGACGACAAAGGGGTCAAGCTAATGTATTTCATTAAGAGATTATATGAATGTTCTATTATAGAACAGTTGTAAAGCTTAAAAAGGTCCTTCGATGAGTCCGCAACTACAAATACCTATACATTAAGGATAATTAATTAAATTGATAAAATATGAATGACGGCGCGTGGAGCGGCAATCCACGCGCGGCGTGCACTGCCCACGTGCCCAACCTATTAGCTGGCACGTGAAATACCGACCCACGCTTCGTGTAACGGGATCGGCGCGACCGGAAGCATGTTCTTTCCCGAGCATTGACAGTAAATGTCAATAGAAACGCGCCTATCGTTAATAAATCTGGTCAGAAAATATCTACACAAGGTCAAATAGCTTATGTAGAAACCTACTTGCAAACAGTACTGTAAAATTATGTTATGAGTGTAGAAAGTTGTCCCTGGACGTTCCTTTACGACGTTAAACGGTGCCTGGATCGTCATTCCACGCGCTCGAAGCCGCCGTGAAAAGGAGCCAAAGTACAAGTCTTCTAGACCGCGTCGAACCGATTACACTGAGCGTGGATCGGTTATCCACGCGCCGCGCCGTGCAGTAGGAGCTTTATCGTCAACATAGTTGAGAAGATTAGAATTGGCAAAGTCCGCAAGATACGTTCATTCGTCGGAAAGGACGTATCTTCTTTCTTGTTTCCACTTATGACTTTAGTCATTTGCTGCGTTTTGAACAAGTCCTTGTTAAGTTAGGAATTGTTTCATGAGTAGTCCAGCCAAAATAAAAAGAGGTAATCGAATAAAAACAAGCGGTGTAGCGGTTAGAGGTTGCTTAGGTACGCAAAAGATAAGGGTCGGCTTTATAACTGATAACTGCCTGGCTGGAATTACATCTTAAAGCAAGCATCTTTGCTTTCCTAAATTCCTGAAAATGTTGAACTTGCTTTAAAGTTCAATCTTTTTCTGTTACACATTACATGGTGTAATGTTACTCCTTTTTTTATTGATGTCCGCTGCAATTCCTAGCTGACATCTCTTCTTATGTTTACGATATTCTCTACAACGTCTGTCGTGAGTAAAAGTAGGCGTTCTGTCAGCAACTACTATAGTATATCTAATAAGTTAAAAGAAGCAACTAAATGCGACAGTTTTACACGTCCCAACTATATCTAAATTCTATACGGGCAAAACTGCGGGCACATCTAGTAAGAGATAACATTTATGAAGTCGTAAAAATTAAAACAAAAATGCATTAGTAACGAATTTTGATTAAATTTTAAGGGAATTAGGAGTAGCAATACTTTGATATTCGTGAATTATATTTGTTGCGTATTTCTTTCCTTTTTCTTTAGGAAGCTATAATTGGGCAATTATTTTTTCAATACGAATTATCTAGTTCGTTAACAGCCTGGTATAGAAAATTGTCAAGGTTATAGAACGTTACCCGATTAATGAACGTCTTTAATTCACTAATTATAGAAATAACAAAAAAAAAAAAAAACAAAAGGTCTTCAAGATTCAAAATTAAAGAAGTTCAATGTCTGTTTAACTAGAAAATTGAAGTTCATTTGCACTGTTACTAATCAAATTTAATTAAAAAAAATGTTTCAAATGATTTAAAAGAATATTTAAGTGACAATTCAATAAAAATAAAAGCAAAAGATTAAAATATGGTTGCATTGTACACTTATGATTAGACACGCATTTAGATATGATAACCAATATCAGTAATTATGTAATAATTTTTTGTGGAATTTTAAGTGTTTTAGTGTTAATTTAGTCATACAAGTAAAAGATTTTTAATAATATCTTAAACAAATTATTTGACAGCAGTTTTACACAAATGTACCCTTCAGAAATTTCCTTTTGCTGCTTATAGCACAGTGCAATTGATGCTTACCCATTAACTATCGAGCAGATATTCTAAAGGAAATTCAATTTGGTTTTAATGGCATGTACAAGTGGTTAGAGGTATTACTGTACTACGACAGTAATTGTTATTAATAAAGCAAACGTATGTACCGGCTATGCTAAGAAGTAGTACTGGAGTATGAAGGTAAAAGATATTGAGAATTATCCCTGATAATGGTGCAGGGTAATTCTACTATAACGAAAAAAAGAAAAAACAAACACCACTAATAATAATAATTTAATAAGTACAACAAGAGAGTACTTCATCATCATGATAAGGTCGTCAGTCCTAAGACTGGTTGGACACGTACCTCCACTCATTCCTATCCTGAGCTAAACTTCGCATTTACCTAAAACTAGAATAGCCCACATCCTTAACTATTTGCGAATAGTAATCTAATCTAGGTCTACCTCTACCCCTCCTAACTCCTGTTTCGGCCTCTAATATGTCTCTGACTGGACCTTCATGCCTAAGAAGGTGTCCTGACAACCTATCTCGCCTATTTTCTATTGACTTCCATAGAGTCCTCTGTTCCCCTATTCTTTTCAATACCTCTTCATTTCCAACCTTTTCTACCCATGATATCCCCATCATCCGCCTATAACACCACATTTCGAACGTTTCTAACCTTTTCTTTTCCGCCGCGCCCACTGTCCATGTTTCGCATCCGTACAATAATAAAAATTGGTAATTGAGACCATATTGGGGCAGGTTGATTGTCCGAATTTGTATTATGTATTTATTGATTACTACACCAAACTGTTTGCTCTTTTGATAATATAGTTCTTGTTTGTTGTGTTTAAGTTTTCACTGTACATGCATGTAGAACGAAACAACAAAACGCATTATTATAGAAGGTTGAGGTCGAATATCATTCTTGTGAACATCAATACAGTTGAACTGTTACAATTTCTGTCGCTTGTTGGTACATCAGGTTTCGCTTAACGATAATTTATTAGTATTATTTTGTTACCTTGTAATTATGGTTATGCCTATCACGTTGAGGTGAACTACGCCGGGATTAGTTTCAGCAAGTAGATATCCATATTTTTAAATGGACCTTGCTGGAGCATACGTAATCCTCAAATGTAGCATCGTAGTACCGATGGCGCTCACCACGCCATTTGTGGTA